AATCATGCAGTGCTCCTCTACAGGCTGAGGATGTGCGGTGTTGGGGGCTGGCTGCACCAACGGATCAGGAATTTCCTTGTTGATAGAAATTGGAGGGTCCAGGTTGACAACCATTGAACCGACAGGTATCCATCGAGCAGCGGCGTGCCTCAAGGCACTGTACTGGGGACGATTATGTTTCTGATCCATATAAACGATGTGCCTCAGCTACTCCAATCACCTTGTGCGTTGTTCGCAGATGACTTGAAGGTGTGGAGAGTAATCCGCACACCCAGTGATTGTGATTTACGTCAGCAGGACCTCGACCGCCTCTCATCGTGGTCTGCAGTGGTTAACCTCCCAATCAACCGGTTCAAGTCACAAATCATGAGGCTGGGTAAGGGTGACGACAGTTGAACCTACACGGTGGCTGGTCAACCGTTGCATCCCGCGTCTTTCGTACGTGACCTCGGTGTACTCTCACGCTACGACCTCAAGTCCATGGACAACACGGATATGATTTATCAAAACAATCTTCGTATGCTTTGGGCTCTGAGGCGCAGCTCCAGCAATTGGTCCGAAGAGATTACTACTCGCCTCTTCGTCTCAATAATACGACCAATGCTAGAGTATGGCTCTCCCGCGTATTGTCCTATCACCTGGGGCGAGGTAGAAAAGCTTGAGCGAGTGCTGCATGTGACCACCAGGCTGATTCAAAACTTACGAGGTGTGTCGTACGAAGACCGGTGTAAGAAACTAGGGTTGTACACCCTAGCTTACGTCGAATGAGGGTAGAGCTCATCATGACTTGTCTGGGTAATTAACCTATGTTGAGGCCACTGCTTCATCTGCGCAAACCAAGCAGCACACGAGGATACCGGTATAAGCTTGTCGTATCGGATTTGAAGCGGGTCACTCACCAACTCTGTTTCGAACGCAGAGTGGTGAATGTATGGAAGGACCTGCCGCAGCAGGTAGTAGAGGCAAATTCAGTGTCGGAATTTAAGAAGTTCCTTGACAAACACTTTGCCGACGCGAAATATATGGTGCGGAACACAACATAAGTGACGATGGATGCAACTACACAGAGCAAGCTCTAGTCGCTGCTTCTAACTAGTAATCAGTAATCAGATCGTGCCATGCACGCCGATTAACCGCTTTCGATTCCCATGACCTACAAACAAAATTAGAACGTGAGACGCTCAAGTTGATCATGTCTTGGTAACGAAGCTTCGGTTTCCGATATTCCGTTTCCCAACACTCAGCTGACCTTATAATAGCTTCTTCAGTACCCGCGTCAAGTCCATACGCCACACATGACCGAGCCACCTCAGGTGTCTCAGCAAAAGTATGTAGTCCACTGAATATCTCCCACTTCGGCGCAACAGTACCGTGTCCTCAACTCTGTCGCAGCAGCCGATGCGCCGAATCCGTCGCAGAGACAATGGAGGAAACCATTCGAGATATCGCACATCCCACCTGTACATCGTCCACGTTTCACTGCCGTATAGAAGAAGGGACAGCACCATGGATTTGTACACCATCAACTTTGTGCCAACGGTAAGCTGTTGGCATTTCCAAACTCGGTACTCTACCTTGCCGAATGCCGAAGCTGCCTTCCAAACGCAGATACGAAGCTCATTGTGATGCTGCTGGTCAGTCAACATCACACTCTCAAGGTAGCAAAAGCGGGAGGTGGTTTCTAGTACTTCAGCACCAATGCTGATTCGCGGCACCATTGTAGATTGCACCTTCGGTGAAGACTGAAAGAGACAGATAGTTTTGCTTGAGTTGATGGTGAGCCCGAATTTGGCCTCTATCGAAGTCAGAGCACTAGTCATGTGCTGTAACGCATCCGCGCTGTGTGCAAACAGCGCACAGTCGTCAGCAAACAGCAACATACGGATAGTTGTCTCACAGACTAGAGTTCTCGCACCGAAACGACGGATGTTCAGCAAACCACCATCAATACGGTGCTGTACACGATCACCGTAAGCACAAAACATCATTGCATGAAGATAAATGTTAAACAGGGCAGGAGCTAAGCCACAGCCTTGCTTCACACCAGAGACAACTGCAAAGTCATCAGATAATTCTCCACTCAGCTGTACCCTCGTCCGTCTACCTCGTCCGTCTAACAAAATTACGCGGACAACCAAACTTATCCAGCGCCAGCCACAATGCCTCGCGGTTAACCGTGTCAAATTCCTTGGTGAAATCAACTAAAAGCGAGTACAATGGCTGGTGTCGTTCTCTGCACTTTTCGTTACACTGACAAGGCGGGACCACCATATCTATGGTGCTAGGACCCAAACGGAATCCACATTGCTCTTCCGCCACGTTAATTTCCACAACCAGACTAACGAGGCGGTTGAGCATGATTCGGGCAAGCACCTTTCCCACACAACTCAGCAAGTTGATGACACAATATTTCGTGTAACATTGCTTGCCACCTTTACGCTTGTACTGTGGTAGCACAAGGGCCTCCTTCAGCTCAGGAGACACCTCCTACTCAATCCACACACGTTGCATCTACTAGTGCAGCGCAGTAAACAATGTGGGTCCGCCGTGTTTCAATACTTCAGACGGGATGCCGGCGGCACCGGCACGTTTGCCGTTTCGCAAGTGCTCTCTGCGTCTCATCCATTGTCGGCATGTCCGTCTGACTCGCCTTCACATCTTGCTGCTTTAGGCAATTCAAAGTAGACCAGTCGATCTCTGAATGGTTGTTCAAGAGACAGTCAAAGTGATTTTGCCAGATCTGCATTATGTCTGCAGTACGTGTGCAGGCATTGCTTGAAATACTATCGATTAGCGGCCTCAAAGGCCCCAACCTCGGACCATACACTGCCTTCACAGAGTCAAAGAATTCCTTGTGTTGACGGCGTTCGGCGTAGCATTTCACCTG